GTTGTCAGCCTTACGAGCCAGCCGCGCTTTACACCCCAGGAAAATTATGTAATTAATTCCTGGTACTCATTTCTGTTAGAGGCTGAGTCGACCCCAGGGCCATAGTGCGGCTGGAAGGGTTAGGTCAGTTGAAAAAATCCAATGACTTGAACCCGCTACCTTCCGGCTTGTAGCATAGTGTCTATTTTAGTAAAAACATAAACATGTTGAAGGAATCGCCGATGGTAATCCCACATGATTTGTAAAAATAATGGACACCGTATGTTGTAAAACATTACCGCGTGGATTCCTGAGTAAAAGAAAGACGAAATATTTTTTAAGGTGAAGTTAATGAATGTAAAAATAAGAACACGAGATTGAGGTTCGCAGGCCGTACCTGAGGGTGAATACGTTCCTCTAAAGCTCTCCTCTTCCCCGGGCAAAACGAACTGCTAGAATGCTGGTGTCATCAAGTCAAAACTCAATCTGTGACCTCACGTAGAGTGAAGTATCTTGTGCGTTATTAAGATTCGGGCGATAAAGATGTATGAGGAGTAGAGGTATAAGCTCCGCGCATTCTGAACCTCGGCATCAGATGATCAGCTTCACGCTCCGACCACTTTACATCAGGAGAAAGATCCCTTCCCCAGGTCTCCACTGGATAGGAAAATGGGTGAATTCCACAGTTGGTCCGGACACTGTGGAGGGGAAATTCTTATCCCTGCTTGGAATCGAACCCGGATTCCTCCATCGTCCATCCCCCACCTTAGACACTGTATTGCTCCTGCCGTTTATTTATAAATTACTGATAAAAGTAATGTAAGCATGTCCCGGTGTTTATTTAAATAAGCAGTATGCCATGAAGACATATGAGAGTGGAAGTATAGCTCCACAATTCTTGTACTCGCCACTACTGGAGATGTGTGGCCAGCCACACGCCCTGGCCGCTTTAACAGCCCCCGGCAGCCATTGAATAAAGAGTCCGTCTGATCACTATGGACAAGACAAAAATCTTGCCTCTGCCGGGAATCGAATTCCTCATAAATTACTGTTTTTTTTTAATGGGACATAACAACCGTAACACCACTTCCTGAATAAAGTATAACTCAGTTTCCCCAAACATTCGTAACAAGTACCTGCAGTCAACAATAGTCACCCGTTAAGAATTTTGGAGGCTTTAGTAATTGGCTATTCACTGGCTGGTCAGCGTTGTGGGTCAAGTGAACTTGCAAGCATCAAGTTCGTGACTCGGGCCAGAGAACTGAGCGAGTCACGACACTGTCTGCTGCCACTACAAGAATACTATCCCCTGCCCGTCCTTCTCGCTCGCCCGCTTGCTCGCTTGTGGCGGATTCAGTCGTGGTTAACTTGACAGTGCCTGCTCTTCAGAGATCCACGCTGTGTTACAACTTCAGGTGCGATATGGTCCAGTGATCAAGAGTTATCTTCCCAGATCGAGAGCGGTAGCTCACGAACAGCGTGACTGCCTGCCATTCGGAAGGTACGCCAATCAAATCTCGAAGCAGCCCGTTCCTGCGATACTTTTTATGCTCAGTCCTTCGAGGCATGATCGAAATAAACTTTTCAATTAAAAGACTGCGGAGCCACGTTTACAGACAGCGTGACCACTGTTCGCAGAGGCGGTTCAGATTCCAGTAACGACTGCAGGCACTTACTCCTGGCATATTACATACTTATAGACCTTTCAAGAAATAAATCCGATAACAGGCACATTTTCTAGCGCTACTCCCAAACGCAACTCATCACCGAATACTTTAAGTAGATCGCAACAAAAGAATGTGAGCAGTGGGCATGTAGCATGTATGAGGTATTGAGTATTGAGGGGGTGGGTTACCCCATGCACCGCGACCAGTTTGATCTATTGTGCGTCCCCATTTGAATTTCTACTGTCTCCATACCCTACCGGTACTGGTGCTTGCTATCGTTCCCTTTCTGCCAGCGAGGTTTCGGCATTCTACTGGCAGTGGTATCTGATAGTTAGTCCCTTTCTCTCAGTGAGGTCGTCCCTCCTCTGGCAGTGGTACCTAAGCTCCCCCATCTACCGGAGGCATTGGAAACTACTTGGGCGGGAAATTGCCTAAATTTAGCTCAGAGGTATCCTAGAGACATGAGGTTCTTTTACGTGCCGTAAATCTACAACACGGGACCCACGGCTTAAAGTCCCTCCCGGAGGACTTGTTCCCTGAATTGAACTTGTTCCACGACCTCCGCCGGGTTTGAACCCGCGTACCTTGAGTCATGAGGTGGGAACGTTACCCCTAGACTACGGAGGCCGCTTTGTATGAGGTAGATAAAATATGCTGTATTGTAGCTATCCAAAAGGTAAAGTGTACACAAATCGCAACATTACGGTACCTGTTGTTTTGTATAGAAGGGAAAGTGTGTAAGGGTTTGGGAGAACGGGATGATGATGGGAATGTTTAACATTGGATGGATGAAGTATCAGAAGGTATAAGGGTTGAACGTTTGAACATAAGAGGGATGAAGTAAACGGGAGGGAGAAACACTTATAATGAGGAGCTTCGTAATTTGTACTCTTCAAAAAATCTCGTAGGGTTATCGAATTAGGAGTGGAAGCATATAGCACGCGTAGGAGAGTTAAAGTACACACACTTTCTGCAGAAGAAACGTAAAGAAATGGCGTCACTTTGAAGAATAGGCGTAAGTAAGAGGGTATACTGTAACAGATTTGATCAACACTTTGCCAGGCAACAGCTCTGTAAACACGGTCCAACACGCAATAATAGATGAGGCTGTTTCCTATGTCGTCCGCGCAGAGCAGCGGTGGAACAGCGCGGTTACAGCGCCTGTCATCTGGGGATGGTACAATAGGCCAGAAGTGGCCACAGTACAAGGGACTTACTCCCACCTCACTAGCAATAAAACAAAACTCGGCACTAGATGGACGCGAGATGTTAGCTTCATGCCCGGCCGCTTTACACCTGGAGAAAGTACCCCCAGTACCCTTTAGATTTATATTGACATTTCTGTGTAAGTTATTCTCGGGTTTATAACAGCACAACATAGACCTATGCCGTAGCAGCAGCTTCCATCAGGAAGCGATACCAAACGTAAGGCTCTTACTGTCAGTTTTTTTATCAATAAAGCTCTTGAGAATTTCAAGTACAGGTAGTGCAAAGTTATCAACCCGGTCTCTTTTAGCCTCTATCATGTAATTAAGATGACCACTACCCTGTGGTGGGTGTGACATCACTTCACACAGTTGACGTAAACTACATACTGTAAGCGCAATTCCGCGTGCTGCTCTAGAAAACCCCTCTAACTGATTACTAACAGA